CACCAATGGCAGCCCTTTGCCCCAGCGCTGTGGCCAGCCCAGGGAGAGCTGAGCTCTTGGAAGCTGGAATTTCTCAGAAGGCCAGCCAGTGAGCCTTTTGCAGGGGTGCTCAGGGCTCCTTGCTGTGCTGGGCGGTGAGTTATTGCAGCCTGTTAGCTTCAGCAGCAGGTGGAGGCATCCTGGGCTGCGCTCCTTCCTGCGAGCGAAGCCAGGTAATAGCTACTGGCTCCAATGAATAAGGTAACCAGCCCTTTCATGGCACAGAGGATGCATCTCTCATCCAAGGTTTTTTTTTTTCCCCTCCTTTCTTTCTTCATTATGTTTGTAATTTTGTTTTATTATTTCCCATTGGAAAGCTGTGAAATGAAAATGATGCAATCTACTGCTGTGAAATAATGTCGTGCTCGAGTCCTTTTCCAATAAGCCCTGAGGTCTGCTCTGTGACGGCTTCATTAAATTAGTCGGCTCCATGGCAAATGGAAAAGCGCTGGGAGCTTTGGATTTTGCTAATCCGAATTGGGCTGCCTGAGACCTTAGACCCCCAGGGAGCTCGAGAGGTTGGCTCTGCATGCTGGGGAGAAGAGGCTCCCGCCTACCGTGGGTGATGCGCCAGAGGCCACCACCTGTGCACGGCTGCCAGACCTCCCATGCAACCCTTCGCCGTGCTCCTCTGCGTGCCAGATGCTGCCCCAGGTGCTGTCACGTGCCAAGGGACCCGACAGGTCAGGGCACTGTCTCTCCAGGAGCACAGTGTGTGGGGTTGGGGAACGGAGGAGGCGTAACTGCGCTGCAAGTAAAGTATGATGGAGCACAGGTGAAAGGTGAGCCTCTCCTTGAAGGCTGGCCAGGACTCAGATCACCAGATGCCGGTGAATATGCCTGAGATAGTTGCAGGGGAGATGTGAGTGCTTCCCACTTACCCTCCCATCTCCATCCCCCGGAGTTTATGAGAACAGACTCTCCCTTGCCAGGCTCTATTGTAGTATTAAAGATTTCCATTACTGATAGTTCTTTCTAGTTAGTGCTTTCAGTATTAATCTCCGTCATTATGAGATAAAATATGCATGATCCCTAAATCTTTGTGTATTATAACGAGATTTCATTGTTATAAATTCGTCTTCTCAGTCCTCCATTTCTGCCTTTGCTATCTTTTTAAAACTCTAATGTCTGGTAGCTATAGCCAGGAGGTAATTAGGAAGTAGCACTAAAGAATCATGGGCTTATTCTCTCACTCACTCAGAGAAATTTATTGAGGGTCTACGCTAAGACATGGTCCCAGAGCCAGTGGGAAAGACAGTGGTGACCGCTAATTATAGCACTAAGGAATTTTGGTCTGAGCTGACACAGGAAAGCCCCCTTCCACAAACACCTATAAATATTGGATAAAGTTCAATAAAACAATTTGAAATCACAGCTGCATTTGAAAGGAAGGAAAGAGAAATTCCAGATTCCAAAAATGAGTGGGAATTCAAAGCCAGCATGGTGAATGAGAGCTGAAAGGGAGTGGAAGCCAGATATCTGTGGAATCAGGACTGGGGTTTCAACACCCCAGTGGAGGCAGATATGAAGACCACAGCTTCATGAGTGGCTGGGGACAGAAATGGAACCCTACACTACACTTAAGTGGGTGCTCAGAAGGGCTAAACAAACCCCACCTACCAGCTGGCATGGCAGCAGGACAACAATTTGGGTAGAGGAAAGATAATCTGCAAAGGATCAAAATCCAAGCACAGATGTGGGGTCCAAATTCACTGAACTTTCCCAGTGTGGAAACTACAATTGGAAAAATCAGTGTACACACTGGTTTGAACTCAATGGAACCCAACAGAGGCAAACTTGAACCTTCCCTGAGGCATGCTTCCACAGCCCAGAGGCAATAACTCCTGCTGAAGATGAGCTCACACAGAGAAATTACACAGTACATAAGAAAAGAAACTGCCGAGAGAGTGAGTCTCAGCGTCAATGTGGCACCCAGCGTGGCCACCTACGCTGACTCCAGAACTACTGAAAAACTCCCGTTTCTGCCCATCCACTCAACACCGTCATCCCTCCCACTCTAATCCAGGTACTGGAGAGTGCCTGAAGCCCGTCTCTCTTCTTTCCAGTTCATAAATGTATACAACGCATGTATAAATTCCCTTTCGTTTAATTCACACACCACACCATTTAGATACCTAGGAGCCCACATTGCACATGTCTGTTCGCGCTAGCCAGAGGCAACCACTGGTGAGGCGTTTCTGCCACACCTGGCCACCTTCTCGCCCGGCAGTGTGATGAGACTGCTCCAGAGTGGTGACTCCCCAAGCTGGGTTTGGGGTCTCTATCTTGCTAACCCATAAGATAGGAAGAGAGCCGGTCCTTTTCTGCTTTCATATGCTGATGTCATTGACAAACTTTCACTTTCACTTTCACCCACAATACTGCTGGCCTACACAGTGAGGCGTTCCAGGTTCCTGAACTCTGGCATTCAAACTGAACGATCAGAGTTGACCAAGGACTCTAATTCAGCACCCACTCAAAGACCTTACTGCCCGGCAAAGCTTGGCCACCCTTGCTCCGCTGCATAATTGCAGGACACAGGAATCTCAGACGGGGGCAGGTTGCCGTCCCACCCAGGTATCATCAGCTTTGCCTTGAATCGGTGGAGCTTTGGAACTGCTGCTATTCTTGCTTTTAAATCACAAATTACTCTTGCTTTGGCTCCATCACCATCAACTTACTGAAGAAAGGGTATTTGGATAACCTTACACAGTTATAGGGATCCGTATTGGCATCAGCACTTTTTTTTTGTTTTTTTTTTTGTGGTGCGCGGGCCTCTCACTGTTGTGGCCTCTCCCGTTGTGGAGCACAGGCTCCGGACGCGCAGGCTCAGCGGCCGTGGCTCACGGGCCCAGCCGCTCCACAGCATGTGGGATCTTCCTGGACCGGGGCACGAACCCGTGTCCCCTGCATCGGCAGGCGGACGCTCAACCACTGCGCCACCAGGGAAGCCCTGGCATCAGTTTTTCAGTTCTGCTTTCCACTAAGGAGGTCGTAAGATGCATACCCTGCAGCTCAAATGTGAACCTTTGGTGTCTCGATTAGCAAACTACCCCCCCACGTCCTTCACGGAGTCTTTGTTACCGTCCCAGCTTCTTTCACTAGTAAGAGGAAGGTCAGTGGGATCCCCGAGCCTTAGCTTTTCTGCCACATCTAAGCAGCTGAGATTAAAAAATAAAATGTTTGTCCCTCTGGGGCAGAGGCCTCCGTTCCTGTTTCCCCATTTCCATGGGTATTCAACAGAGACCTATGGCCACCTACACTCTGTGACTTTACAGGGGGAGTAAAAGGAGTAATGTCCCTTCCTCTTAGACAAGGAGTCGTGTTTCCAATCACACCTGGAGGAAAATATTCACTGAGAGCTTGATGTGCCTGACTCAGCGCTGGGGCTAAAGTAAGTCACGAGCCAGCTTTCCTGCCACCGGGGAACTCCCAGACAGGCACAGCTACAGAGGGAGACAAGGACACGGATGGGACAATACCAGCTCCTTTAGTTATTTCAGTGCAGAATCTGTTTCCCCTATTTAGGGGAGAGGGCGCTGGTGAAACTGTCTGTTCTTTCTTCTCTGCAAAACTGGTTTAAACCCGGTGGCCCTGTAGCTTGAGCAGCCAACAGAACATCTTCTTCTATAGGTGTCTTTATCACATGGCCTCCTCGCCTTTCCACAGTGGGGCGTAGCCAGCCCCACGGAACAGTCAAATCGTAACTAAAGAAGGCAACAGGAGGATTGCATAAACAACCCCAGCCGAGGACATGCTGGATCTGCACTCAGCCCTTCACTCTCCACGTCTGCAGTAGTCCACAGTCATGGAGTTTTTAATGATGAGCTTGAACAACGGCCAGCACGGAAGGCTTTCTGGATGAAGGGGAGACAGACACCTGTTCGGGGTATAAGATGGGAGATGGATTCCGAAGTGGATCCAAATGGCCCCCACCTCCTGGTACCAGCTCTCCTGTGTAATCCTCTCCCCTTGAGTGTGGCTGGGCCTAGCGGCTCACTTCTCTCAAATAGAATGTGGCAAAAGTGATGGGAGGTAACTGGTGAGACGAGGCTGGAAAGGACTGTGACTTGCGTCTTGCTGGTACTCTTGCCTTCCTGGCTTGCTTGGCTGGTGGCTGGGTTAGAGAGGCCGACATGGCAAGGAACTGAGGGCAGCTTCTGGCCAACAGCGAAGGGCCACGTCCTACCAACAACCACGGCCACACCTTGACTGCAAGCTTTCAAGTCACCCTGAAGCAGGGGACCCAGGGAGGCTACGCCCCATAGAAACTGTGCGGCCAGAGATGTGTGTTGCTTTAAGCTGCTAAGTTTTGGGGTCATTTGTTTCTCGCAGATAGATAGCTAAAACCATTACTAATTAGCACGTGGTGAACTTACCTCGGCCGAGAACGTACGGGCAATTCCGGGAACTTTTAAACATGGGTCGGTTCTTTTCTTAAAGCCTAGTTACTAAGAATGCACAACCACCATACCCAATTCCCAGAACACACTGGGGATTTGTTAGAGGAAGAAACTCCCACACCGATGGCCACAGACTCTAAAGCCATCAGGGCCCACAGAGACGCCTAGAGCAGTGATTCCAACCAGGGAGGAGCCTGGACCCCGCCCTGGACCTACTGCAGTGGGATCCCCACAGGTAGACCCTAGGGCTGCTGAATCGTTGCAGTTTCCCCAGATGAGACAGTGTATCCCTAGGTAGGAAACACCGCTGTCCTTCGCCTCCCTCACTTGATGTAACAGGAGATGAAGGGCCAGAGAAGTTACGTGTCCTCTCCAGGTGGCACTGCCTGCCAGCGGCAGCTCAGGATCAGAGGGCAGGTTTCCCATCTCTCCGTCCTCTTTTCCCACCCCCAACAAGGCCCCACCACCTGCCCACCCCGACTCAAAGGAGAACTCAGCCTAGCTCTGAGCTAACCTAAGTGGAAACAAAGGAGGAGAGACACAGACAGAACTTCCACGGTTCCTTTATTTGTTTTGAAAAGCACCTCCGCCCTTCGTCTCTCAGTCGAGTCCTGGCCTAGTGACGACGAAGGCTGCTCTCTCTGGCCTCTTTTGTTAAGACAGGGAACCACATCAACACTTCCCATCGGATCTCTGCCTCCAGGTACCGTGCAGGGGCAGACCCAGCCAGGACTGGAACTTAACGGCCTTGAGAACACGGGGATCTGTCTGTCTCTGAGTTGCTCTTGGCTTGCAGTCTCTTCCTACATCCTCCCTGACAGCCGTTCCTGTCCGGGGGCGGGGGGTGGTGTTCTGCCTTCGCCTCCCCATTCAGGGCTTCTGCAGTAGTTCGGGGCTGCCTGCAGCCTGGTTTCCAGTCCGATTCTCATCCGGGGAAGCACCACCCCACGGCCCCTGCCGGTTCCGACACGGATCTTCAAGAGCTCACCAGGTCCCAGTGCTGGCTCATAAGTGAGGACTCACACGGATTGACAACGATCTCCCTGCCGTTCTCAGTGCCATCGCCAAACATGTCTGTGTCTAGGCAGAGGTGGGATGCCACATGCTCGATGCGGGAACCAGTCTTGGTCCATTGCTGGGAAGATGGAGAGGGGAGAGGATGAACCAGAATTCTCTGGCTAAGGTCCTGGGTCCTAGCAATAGTATTGGGAGTTCCAGCGTAATCAGAAATGTTGACACCACATGGCTAGGGTCATCCAGAGACTTGACTTCATGGTCTCATGGAGGAAGAAAACTGCAACTAATTGCCTTGCCAGGTATTGTTGTTGGTTTTCTTTTTTTTTTTATCGGATTAAAAAAAGTAAAAGCGAAATCAATATGTTTGCTAGGAAAACTCATTAGAAGGCAATAACTTTCCAAGCCATAGGCCAGAAAATGTGAAGCGAGTTAGTCACAGGAGCAGCTAAAGAAATGATCCACGCTCGGTATCTGCACCGTCATGAAGAAGTGGGTGAGAATGAGGAGGGGGGGATGGCGAGGCAGCAGCGGGGAGGGGCTCCTGGGCAGCACCTGAAGCCGAACCTCTGCTCCTCCAAAGTGCTTCAGCACACGAGGGGCCCAAGTAGAGAGGGGGTCTCGTGCTGCTGCTTCCCAGACTTCACCTCACTGGACAAGGAGGGAGGGGATGGACACGTATTGGGGAGCTACCACTGGCCAGGTATCATGGATCATCTCAGTGAATTGCTCTAAACAGCTACCCTGTGTGATGGGCATCATCAACCTCATTTCATAGAGGAGGAAACTGAAGCTCAGAGAGGTCCAGTAACCTGCCAAGGGTCACACAGCCAGTGAGCCGTGAAAATGGATATTTGAATCTCGGTCTCTCTAACACCAGGACCCAGTTGGCAGGAAACTGAGTGGAGCCAACACTGTGCCGCCAGAGAAACTAGGCACAAGGTACATCCAGAGTGCTGTGAACTTTGCTGGACGTCCTGCCAGAGGCCAAGGCCCCCGAAGGCAGAGGTTCGAGTCTTGTTCATCCTTGTGGCCCCGCAGGCTCTGTCCCAGTATGCTCCTGCTCTGGGATCCTGAGTGGGCGTCGGAGCAAGACAGGGCAGTACAAGATACACACGCAAGCTGAGGTATAGCGCGGTCAATAGGCTTTCACACGGCAGCGGATCGCTGCTGTGGGCACCACGGATGGTATCAGAGGCCCCTCCCTCCCTCTCCTAACCAGAGGACCTCTTCCTTATCAACCCTTCCTCCTCTGAAGCTTCTCTCTTTTCCTGCACACGAGACTTAGACCTACACCGGCGGCCACGCCCCAGGGCAGACGCGCTGAGCACTTACCTGTCTGTCATCTCCATTCTTGCAAAGGACAAGAACCACCGGGGCGCCAGGGAACAAGGTGATGACTGACAGGCACAGCTCCTCCTGGAAGATCTGCTGGGTGTATGTGAAGGCCCAGATCTGGAGGGGAAGAGGCCAGAAAGGGTCACCTCAGGATGCTTGGAAGCCACCCCTGCTGGGATACTACTGTGCCTACGTGTGACAATTAGCGCAGCTTGGTACGAAGCACTGGGCGGGGCGGGGGGGCGGTCCTAGCGGGAATCGACTGTCAACAGGCGACCTGGGAAAATGCTACTCAAGAGCCAGAGGTTCTTGGGTCACACCCTCGGTGAAGTCCCTGCCCCTCTCCCAAGAAGGGGACTGGCCTGGGGCATGCAGGCTGCCTCTGAGAGGCAAGGACCAATTCTGGGCTTTGGGAAGGAGACTGAAGGACACCCCGGCCGAACTGCATGGTCTCCAGTTTCTCCGTTCGGATTGGTGTCTGTTCCCCACACTTGACATTTCACATAGCTACCCGGCAGGTCACACCCCACATCCTCCCAGCTGTCTTTAGAATGTCCCTTCTTTGAAAAGGAGTCCAAATTGGCGCCCTGAGAACGTGAGAGTTGTGACAAGAGGCAGATGGAGGGGCAAAGGGAATAAGGAGGGGGTGGGAGAGGAGAAGGAAGGAAAGAAGGAAGTTGTGAGAAATAAAATCATTCCAAGAGGGCGCATGCACGCCAGCACTCCAGGAGAACAGAGCACTTGGCCCCGGACCTCCTGCATGGGGAGCAGCTAAGGAATCGGATGGACGTGCAGAGTTCTGACGGAGGCGAAGGGAACGGGGCATTCGGTGAGGTTCATTACGAGGAAGGAGGAATGTTTCCTTCAAGCGCCAGAGACCAGAGAGCAACCAACTGCTGAAGCAGCCCGGGCCACCGCCCAGCTCTTCGATCAGGGGCGGAAATGCTGGCATAATAGTTGTCAAACGTGAACCTTCAAGAGGTTTTTCCTAGGTTGTAAAACAGGGATAACATCTGTCCTTTGTCTTATCATGGGGTAACGAAGACTTGTGAATCGGATGCCCCGAGGGGAGCTGCAGAGAGGACCCCTTTAAGGGCTGTACCTCTCCTCTTCCACGACACCCTTACCGTCCAGTGGACCTTCTGTCCCTGCACCAGGCCACTTGGTGTCGAGAGACGACCTAGACCAGAAAGTACTCCCTGGGGAGTGGATGGAAATAGAGACGAACAAAGACTGGCTGTGAGTTGAGAATTCCTGAAGCCTGGGGATGGGTACACGGGGTTCTTCATACTCTTCCACTGAGTTCGATTTCTGTATCTATTCAGTTTTTTTTTTTTTTAAATAATAAAACGTTAGGAAATGTACTCTTCTGGCCTTGTGAACATGACCATGCTACGCAAACCATTTGCCTTCCTCCAGGGTAAGCTGCAAGGGGAAGACGCCTGTATACATGGAGGTAACGTCAGAACCATGACAAGATGGCTAATAGAGGCTCACATTTCTTGAGCACCTACTATGTGCCAGGCACTGTTCTGGGAGCTTTACACATGTTAACTTAATCACAAGACTCCAATTAGGTAGGTGTTGTCATTATTCCCCTTTTACAGAAGAGGAAGGTAAGGCTCAGAGAGGTTATCCTAAGTCAGGTACAGAAAGTGGCCCCTACACCCACTCTCCCCAACAGCTCTGCTCGAGTTACTGCTGCCGCTGGGGTCATGGCTCGTTCCGGGCCCTTTGATTCAGTTTAATCTCGGGAGACCCCTCCTCCAGATCGTAAATATTAAAACGATAGATCAGCTCCTCCTTGACAAGAGATAGCTGGCAGGAGCTTCCCCCTCTCGGCCACTTCCCAGTGGCAGCCCCTGTGGGAAGGGAAACCAAGGTCACACCCCGTGTCGGGGGCCGGGGAGGGGGCAGACCAGAGAGTAGGCCCCTCCCCTGACACTGATGGGAACCGGGCAAGAGTATTAACGGAGGCCCACCCGCCGCGGACGCCACACCAGGCCAGGGGACACGTGTGGCACTGGCTTCCAGCCTGGGCTGCCCCCCTTTACTTCCCACCCCACCTCTGTCCGCCACTGTGAACTCCCAGCCTGCATCTCCCTGCTTGGTCACTCCCCTCTCAAGGGTCCCCCTAGGGCCTGGGTGTGTGGACCCGGGACACAGTCTATCCTCTGGAACGGACCCAGGGGAGAGAGATCCACACAAGTCCCGAAATCAGGCTCGGGTCATTAGGGTGGTGGATTCTGGGGTCCTACACATTTGGGGAGTGTAATGCAGAAGGTGGACACAGGTCCTAGGCGTGAGCCCTGAGAATTCCTTGGCCTGTGGTGCGGGGGGAGAGCAGGGCCCAGGTACAAGGGCAGGGCTGCCAGGGGGCCATTTGCCCAGGCCCACCGTACCACTGGGCTCAATGTTAGACTTCTGCATTGCCTGGAAATGAGGATAAACACACAGTCACCGACATGGAAAGAAGATGAGGCTCATCGCTCCGTCCCACTACCCGACCACACAGCTTGCAGTGAACCGTGAATTAGCATCTTAAAAATAAACCCTGTGATTATCTTACGACCACTACAATACACTAGCTTTGTGTTTTTTATGTTAAAAGCATTAATTGATTAAATATAAAAACTTAAAATATACCACAATTTCTGGTAGCCCATTTTGGCACTTTTTTTTTTTTTTTGCGGTACGCGGGCCTCTCACTGTTGTGGCCTCTCCCGTTGTGGAGCACAGGCTCCGGACGCGCAGGCTCAGCAGCCACGGCTCACGGGCCCAGCCGCTCCGCGGCATGTGGGATCTTCCCGGACCGGGGCACGAACCCACGTCCCCTGCATCGGCAGGCGGACTCTCAACCACTGCGCCACCAGGGCAGCCCTGGGCACTTCTTTTTGAATATCCTTAGGGGCTTCAGAAACCAGAAGTGCTGAGGATGGCGTGGGGTAGGGTGGGGAGTGGTGGTCCTTTTAACTCTGAGACACCCCATCCACAAATGCCTTCTGGGAAGGAATGTATATGGTACCCTGGGGGCTCTGAGGAAACCACCTCAAGACGCTCGGGGGAGAACGTGCACAGGCAGAGACAGGTATTGAAGCCCTCATACTATGTGGACTTTCCATCAGCTGGTGCTTTACTGGCATCGAAATAATTCAGCCTCGCAATTGCCCAGAGGGACGCAGCTCTGTGGCCACACATATGCAAGAGAAGAGAGTTAAGGGGGAAGCAGAACATGGGAGCAGGTGGGGAAGGAAGCAACGAGAGGTTTTCCGATTCCTATTCTGCGGCCTGTCAGGCTTTGCAGAATGGTCGGTGATGAATGGGTTTATTAAATGAATCTCAGAGTCAGAAATGAATTCAGGAAGGCGGCAGTGGTTGTTCAGGCTGGCCTGGCCTCGATCGGTGAGCACTGACGGCTCCATTTCGGGGACTGGCAAAGTCACAGCCTTCAACCCAATGCACACAGACAAGGCCATATCCATGGAAGCTAACCCAGAGGCCATCCTGGAGGTGGTGTGGGATGCCTTGCCCCTCTGGGACGGGCTGGTAAGGGGTCGAGGAGGAGGCAGTCCATTCCTCGCCCTCCAGCCTCTTTGCTGCTGCCCTGGAAGAGGGGAACCGATGCTGGGGAGGGGATGGTCCAGGCCGGACAGCCTGAAGGCCTTCTGTGCTCGGAGGAAGTCTCTGGAGCTGCCAGTGTGGGTGGGAGACAGGAGTGACCCGTCACTGGGGGAGGAGACTTCTCGCTAGTAAATGCTCACCTGGCCACGGCAGCTAGCCTGGGGCTTACTGTCCTGCACTGGCTGGAGAAGCAGAGAGGAAAGATTTTCTTCAGAGGAGATACCTGAAGGAGTAAAGTTCTGAAGGGAGCAGGCGTGAAGCTAAGCTGGGGCCCAAGCCCAGGGGCTGATCTTAGAATGGTCCAGAGCCACCGCCAGTAGGCAAGGGCACTGCTTTCCAGCTGGGGTGCTTTTGCCCCTAGCCACCTACCCAGGGGACAGCTGGCAGTGTCTGGAGGCATTGTTTGACTATTATGACTAGGTCGGGGCTGTTACTGACACCTAGTGGGTGTGGTCAGGGATGTTGCTAAACATTCTACAATGCACAGACAGTCCCTGCAACAAAGAATTACCTGGTACTAATGCCAACTGTGCTGAGGTTGAGAAACCCTAGCCTAGCCTTTTTTTTTTTTTTAGTTTTTGTTGGATATAGTTGCTTTACAATGTTGTGTTAGTTTCTGCTGTACAGCAAAGTGAATCAGCTATCTGTAAACACATATCCCCTCTTTTTTGGGTTTGCTTCCCATTTAGGTCACCACAAAGCACTGAGCAATAAATTCTCATTACCTAGCCTAGTCTTAAAAGCTTGGTGTCTGGAGGCGGCAGGGCCGTGTCTGAACCCTGCTCTGGCGCTACTAGCATATGACCTGGGTAGCCTTGGTCACCTCCTCTAAGCCTGCTGTGAAACCCCCATCTGTGAAGTGGGGGTTACTGTGAAGCTGAAACAAGCAGATGTTCGTGGAGCACTCAGCCCACTGCCCAGCCCCTGGAGGAGAGTCTCCGTGAACCATCTTTTTCCAACACATGGGAAGGAGTGGTTGGATGAGGACAGAGAAACATTGTCATGTGGACAGACGTTAGGGGGCTGTGTTTTCCTTAAGGCAGAAGCATACATCATTTTCTGCTGGTGGTGAGTTCCCTGTTCAAAAATTCTCCCGTGTGGAGAAGAATAAACAACAGAGAAGAAACAGTGGATGGGAGGCAGCCCTGCTGGCTGTGCCGTGGTTAGACGGCCAAAGTAACTCGGTGCCGAGGGACGCTTCTGTTCCTGATTGTTCACCTTCCGTTGTTTACGTGACCCTCACAGCCACCCTGGGAAGTAGGTACGATTGGATGGAAGGCGGACTGAGGTCAGTGGTTGCTCTGGGCAATGCCAGGGGTAGACCCTGGGGTTGACTGTGAATGCGGGACCTCCCTGGTGAGACGGGATCTGAGCCAAGCGCGTCCAAGGCCACAGGCTGGCCTCAAACCTCGTAGGCCACACTGGGCATTGCCCTCGTCCATCAACACGTCCTGAAGCCTGCTTCAGACAAGATGCTGGGAATGAATGAGTGGGTC